CATGAAGCAGCAAGCCACTTCTCCACTCCTTGTCCCCACCTTGAATATCACCCTGTAGACTCAACTCCCAACTTCTACCTTGGAAAGGAAGCCTGTCACTTAAGACCCAAATCTACAACTGTTTTCTGCTAAAAACATTTGCTTCTTCAGTAAAGGAATGCCATTCATTCCTTTACTCAAAAAATACTGAACTTCAAGGGACTGGAGAATGTAGCAGTGAGCCAGACTCCACCTTCCTCCCCCCAAAAAAGCTGTCCACATGGAATTTTCCTAGTAGCCAGAAGTTAAAACTATAGAAAAATAAGAGGGAAAGGACTGAAGGACAGGGATGAACGTATCAGCAGGATCTACTGATTTAAGAGGTAAAAGCATAAGCTTTGGGGCCATTTAAGTGAGGAATCTGAAATGCAGTACTTGCGTGCAATTTCAAAAGCAACAGAATGATCTTTGTTTCCAAGGCAAACCATTCCATGTCACAGTAATTGAAGTCTATGCCCCAACCAATAATGCCAAGGCAGCTGAAGTTGAATGGTTCTATGAAGACCTACAACACTTTCTAGAACTAAAAGATATCCTTTTCACTATAGGGGACTAGAATGCAAAAGTAGGAAGTCAAGAGATAACCTGGAGTAACAGGCAGGTTTGGCCTTGGAGCACAGAATGAAGCAGGGCAAAGGCTAACTCTTGGCAGAATTCTGCCAGGAGGACGCGTGGTCACAGCACACACCCTCTTCCAGTAACACAGCAGGTGCCTCTACACATGGACATCACCTGATAGCCAATACTGAAATCAGACTGATTACATTCTTTGCAAAGATGGAGAAGTGCCATTGTCAGAACAAGACCAGGGGCTGACTGACTCAGATCATGAACTCATTGCAAAATTCAGACTTAAACTGAATAAAGTAGGGAACACCACTAGACCATTCAGCTATGACCTAAATCAAATCCCTTACGATTATACAATGCAAGTGACAAATATTTTCAAGGGATTAGATCTGATACAGAGTGCCTGAAGAACTACGGACGGAGGTTCATGACATTGTACAGGAGACAGTGATTAAAACCATCCCCAAGAAAGAGAAGTGCGAAAAGGCAAACGTCTATGAGAAGGCCTTAAGAATAGCGGAGAAGAGAAGCAAAAGGCAAAGGAGACAAGGAAAGATATACCCATCTGACTGAGAGTTCCAAAGAGTAGCAAGGAGAGATACAGTCTTCCTAAGTGAACAATGCAAAGAAATAGAGGAAAACAATTTAAGACTAGAGATCTCTTCAAGCAAATTAAGAGATACCAAGGGAACATTTCATGCAAAGAGGAGCACAATAAAGGACAGAAATGGTATGGAGCTGACAGAAGCAGAAAATATTAACAAGGTGGCAAGAATACACAGAACTACACACAAAAAAATCTTAATGACCCAGATAACCATGATGGTGTGATCACTCACCTAGAGCCAGACATCCTGGAGTGAGAAGTCAAGTGGGCCTTAAGCAGCATCACAAGAAACAAAGCTAGTGGAGGTGTTGGAATTCCAGCTGAGCTATTTCAAATCCTCAATGATGATGCTGTTAAAGTGCTGCATTCAAAATGCCAGCAAAATTGGAAAACTCAGCAGTGGCCACAGGACTGGAAAAGGTCAGTTTTCATTCCAGTCCCAAAGAAAGGCAATGCCAAAGAATGTTCAAAATACCACACAACTGCACTCGCTAGGAAAGTAATGCTCAAAATTCTCCAAGCCAGGCTTTAACAGTACATGAACTATGAACTTCCAGATGTTCAAGCTGGATTTAGAAAAGGCAGAGAAACCAGAGATCAAATTGCCAACATCCACTAGATCATCAAGAGTGAGAGAGTTCCAGAAAAACACCTATTTCTGCTTTATTGACTGTGCCAAAGCCTTTGGCACAACAACAGTATGGATCAACAAACTGAAAAATTCTTAAAAGAGATGGGAATACCAGACCACCTGACCTGTCTCCTGAGAAACCTGTATGCAGGTCAGGAAGCAAGTTAGAAGTAGACATGGAACAGCAGACTGGTTCCAAATAGGAAAGGAGTACATCAAGGCTGTATATTGTCACCCTGCTTATTTAAGTTCTATGCAGAGTACATCATGTGAAATGCCAGGATGAATGAAGCACAAGCTGGAATCAACATTCCCAGGAGAGTCAATACCCTCAGATATGTAGATGACACCACCCTAATGGCAGAAAGCAAAGAGAAACTAAAGAGCCTCTTGATGAAAGTGAAAGAGAAGAGTGAAAATGTCAGCCTAAAACTCAACATTCAAAAAACAAAGATTGTGGCAACTGGTCCCATCACTTCATGGCAAACAGATGGGGAAACAATGGAAAAAATGACAGACTTTACTTTCTTGGGCTCCAAAATCACTGTAGATGGTGACTGCAGCCACAAAATTAAGAGAGACTTGCTCCTTCCAAGAAAAGCTATGACAAAAAAAAAAAAAAAGCTATGATAAACCTAGACAGCATTATTAAAAAGCAAAGACATTACTTTACCAACAAAAGGTCCATATAGTCAAAGCTACGGTTTTTCCAGTAGTCATGTATGGATTTGAGAGTTGGACCATAAAGGCGGCTAACACCAAAGAATTGATGCAGAAGAGTCTTCAAGAGTCCCTTGGACTGCAAGATCAAACCAGTCAATCCTAAAGGAAATCAATCCTGAATATTCATTAGGACTGATGCTGAAGCTCCAATACTTTGGCCACCTAATGTGAAGAGCCAGTTCATAAGACCCCGATGCTAGTAAAGATTGAAGGCAAGAGAATGGGATGACAGAGGAAATGGTTGGATGGCATCACAGACTCAACGGACAGGAGTTTGAGCAAGCTCCAGATGGTGAAAGACAGAGAAGCCTGGTGTACTGCGGTCTGTGGGGTTGCAAAGTCGGGCACAACTGAGCAACTGAACACAACCAATTCCTAGCACAGGCTGGTAATGACTTCCTCCAAAGTGATAGAAATGCAGGCAGTAAGAAATGGTTAGATTCCAGATAGTTTCTTCTTTATTAAAAACTTATATCCTTGGCACTGAAAACACAGACCTAACCACTGGACTGCCAAATTTCTTTTGAATGAACTGTGAATCAATGACCAGAGGACTTACTTTGATCTAAAACAGGATGGGGGGACTTCCCTGGCATTTTAGTGGTTAAGAATCCTCTGTGCAATGCAGGTAACCAGTGTTCGATCCTGGTTGGGGAACTAAGATGCCATGAAGCAGCTAAGTCCATGCACCTCAATCACTGAGCCTATTTGCTGTAACTAAGACCTGATGCAGCCAAGTATTTTCCTTAGAAAATAAATTGTAAAAAGTAATAGGATGGGTGAAGTTATTCAGTCATACAATTTTAGACATGTTAAATGCCTATCGACATTAAGCTGGGAGTTGGAGGGACAAACCTGGAGTTCAAAAAAAGTACAGACTACAAGTAAAATTCTGAGTCAGTTTATTTAAAACCAAAAAATTGAGTAAGACTATTTTTAGAAAGAATATTGGTAAACATAAAAGGACTGGGGCTCTCCAACACTGAGGCCTGAAACAAGCTAGCAAACATCAGCCAGCAACATGGGAGGGAAAGTCTGAGGGCCAATTCCAGGAGACAGTTAAGAAACATGAGAAAATCAACTGTCAGTCATCCTGTTACAGGAGTAAAAGGAAAGCCAAGGGTGAACCAACCACTGGCTTAGCAGTGACATCTGTTGATTCTGACAGCAACAGCTTCCTTAAGAGTGGTGTGTAAGAAAAAGTGTCAGAGAAAAGCCCAACTGCGACAGATTCAAGCAAGAAAAGTAAAATTACGTGCAAGAAATATGGTTAACTCAAGCTTTGCTGTAAGTTTGAATAGGGATGTATCTGGAAGGGCAGAGGAATGAAAAAGGTGAGAACTGATGGAGCCAAGAACAGACGGTAGAATCTGAGGCTTCTGTGTCTGACTCTGCGACCCCATGGACTATAGCACACCAAGCGTCTCTGTCCTTCGCTATGTTCCAGAATTTGCTCAGATCCCACCGAGTCAGTGATGGTATCCATCTCTCAACTGCTGCCACCTCCTTCCTCCTTTTGCCTTCAGTCCTTCCCAGCATGAGGTAGGGTGGAAATAACAGGATTTCTGAGGTTCTTATTCTCAAGAAGCAAGGCCATCAGCTGAACTGAGAATGAAAAACCAGAAGTCTGAGCGGAGAAGGTATAGAACAGAATGGGTGAGTGACTAGAAGGAAATACTGGATAGCAGACAAATGCCCACTTAACAGGAAACCAATAACCAGTTTCTCCACTTGTCTAGCCAACTTCAGCTTGACCATTAAGGTTTTCAGTGGGAGATTTACCTCTAGAGAACAGAAGACAGCATTTATATTTTTAAAAGACAAACCCAGAAAAACCTAAATGACAATAAGCTCTTTTCTTTCCACTGTGCAGTTTATGACGGTGGTTCACAAAGTATGGCTCCTTGTCACCAGTATCACCTGAAAACTTGCAAACTGCAGACTTCATCCTAGAACTACATCAGAAATTCTGGAAGCAAGGCCCTGAAATGTTTTAATAAGACTTTCAGAGATTTGAGAACCACCTTGGCTTCCCTCGTGGCTCAGATGGTAAAGACTCTGCCTCCAATGCAGACCTGGGTTCAATCCCTGGGTTGGGATGATCCCTAAAGGGTATGGTAACCCACTCCAGTATTCTTGCCAGAGTCAGATACTACTGAGTGACTTCCACTTTCAAAACTTCAACCATGTAAACAAAGGGTTTCCTTTTATTCACCATCTATAATACTTCAAGACCATTCCTGCTTAAAATAGATCTTACCCTTTCTCGGCTACTTAGTAACTAAAAACATAAAATACACATAAAAGGTAAGAAAACTTCACCACAAATCAGAACATCTTAAACAAGCTGTCAGATTATTTAAGAAGAATGATCAGGGAAAAACTACCACAAATAAGATCTTTTATTTGTCACCATTAAGAGTCTGCATTTTAAACCGATTCTTGGACTGGTGGTTCGTATCCATCAGCTCGTTCAACTTTAGCACCTGTCTCGTCCCCAGTAGCTTTTCCAGAACTACTACCTTCACCATGTAGCTCCATGAGTTTTCCCACTGAAAAGGAGAAAATTAAAATTGTTACAGCCTACCATATCTTGAAACATATTATCAATACTCTATAATACTATACAGGGAAGACAGGAGGAGAAAAAGTAACATCTGGCCTCAGAAAAAAAAAGAAATGAGGAAACAATATATTTTTCTACTTTTCTACACAATTTTCTTTCAGAAATCCCGTGACTTCACTTACATTCAAATTTGGGCTTCTTCAGCATTTTTACTTTTCTAACGAAGACATCATGGAGCGGATAAATAGATTGGCAAGCCTTTTCTATGTCTTTTCCAATGCTATCTGGAATCCTGTAAACCAGTAATGATAAGTTAGAATAAACCTACACTTCATTTAATCCACAATTATCCTCATTCTGTTATTGCCCCTTCATAGGTGATGGTTAAATAATTTGAATTATACAGCTACTTAGTAGCAAAATCAGCATTTGAGCCTTCTGAATCTAAGCCTTATGCCTTTTCCAAACACAGCTCTAAGCAACTACATGGGAACATCAGAAAAATGTTAAGTTTTATCATCGGACATCATATGGGACCGAAACATTTGTCATCATTTATTCCCATACTTAATTGTGAAAGGTTTGTCAACTCAGTGTATTTTCTAAGGCAAAGATGAGTCCTGAGCTTCAAGTCTCACTAACTGCCCAAATGAGAAACCATCAAGCAACATTTACTGAACACTTAACATGGTTTCATTTCAAGAGATGCAGCTAGACAGTTTCATAGAATTTAAACACAGTTCTGACCGCACCTTGTCTCACACGCTTTTCCTTATTTGAGGGTTGTGCTGTAAGGGAAACACTTACAATTTATTGACCACCTCTTTCAAGTCATTTGTCTGCACCTCTCGGGTCATGATCTCCATCATCTTCTTACGGATCTGGCGCACCTGCTGGTGCTGGGCGTAAGAGGTCTTCCGGATCTGATTGTTGCGCTTTTTAGTAAAACCCACACAGAACAGACGAAGCAAGTAACCATCGGTAGTTTTGACATCAACGTGAGCTTCAATCATGGTCTAGTGAAAAAATGACACCGTCAGTTATACCAGACTTAAAGTTATCCATTTTTATCCCTCAAATCCCAATTTAAAAAAAGTGGAAGGTCAAGTATTCGTTACACAATATCAAGTATAATATAAATGGGCTAATTCACAGAGTTAATGTCCTTGAAGTGAACTTACCAACAGTCATCTTGAATTCTTACTCTCCTCCAGACCTAATAAACATTGAGTCCTCTCAGCTGTCTTCCTCCCCTCCTCCAGGTAGCTTCTCTAGCCTCATTATCACTATCTGCAAAGAACCCCCTCTTTTACATACACATGCTAGCCTTTAACAATCTGCTCCTCCCCCAATCAATTTTTTAACTCTGCAAGTAAACAAAAAATGGGTTCTGGGAGACTCTACAATACTGACATCTAATGTAATAACACCAAACACATATACTTTAAAATGTCCTTTATGTTCCAAACCAAAGCCACAATAAGGATTCAATTTCATGGCTAAAACAATCTTAAAAAATCCATACTCTTAACACTACCTAAATTTGAAAAGATTTGCCCTCTTTGCATTTTCTAAATTTTATGCCTTACTTTAAAAAATTAATATAATGCAATCATAGTGAAAAATCTTAAAATACCTTCAGAAATACAACTATAAAACCTTAGGGGAATGTCAGAAATGTAACAGTATAATCATTATATCATTTGGGACCGAAACATTTTGTCATCATTCATTCCCACACACAAAACATTCCCAAATGGTATCTGAACCAATGACGTTATTTCCTGTACTTAAAACTAACTTGTAGCAAATGCTCTGTTAACAAGTTCTGTACAAAGCATGCTTACATGGATCTTTTATTTCATCCTGATTCCATGAGCTAATGTTCTTACCTACATTTAAAAAAAACCAAGGCTTAGCAAGCTGTAAGTTATTTTTTATACCAATTAAAGTCCATCTAGTCAAAGCTATGGTTTTTCCAGTAGTCATGTATGGATGTGAGAGTTGGACCACAAAGAAAGCTGAACACCAAAGAATTGATGCTTTTAAACTGTGGTGTTGGAGAAGACTCTTGAGAGTCCTTTGGACTGCAAGGAGAGCCAACCAGTCCATCCTAAATTAGCAAATCAATCCTGGGTATTCATTGGAAGGACTGATGCTGAAGCAGAAACTCCAATACTTTGGCCACCTGATGTGAAGAACTGACTCATTGGAAAAGAAGGCGACAGCAGAGGATGAGATAGTTTTGGCATCAATGACTTGATGGACATGAGTCTGAGCAAGCTCCAGGAGTTGGTGATGGGCAGGGAAGGTGCTGCAGTCCATGGGGTCGCAAAGAGTTGGACAGGACTAAGAGACTGGATTGGACTAAACTAAACTTACTTTTCAGAGACTATAACTGGGAAAAGGTAACCAAATTTCAATCTCACTCCAGAGGCTCTGCCTCTCCTATTGTATAGTACAACAGACAAAACTAGCCCAGTCCCCCCCTCATGATAAAATTCACAAGATTTTGAAGTTCAAAGGTATTCTGAGAACAGGCAAAGCCAAAACTGCAAACCTGTGCTAATTCATGCAGCAAAAAAAACTTTGATGATAATCCAATATTAAATCCTGAACTCAGTTTAAGGGCTTCCTGGGTGGCTTATTGGTAAAGAATGCACCTGCAATGCAGGAGACACAGGTTGGATCTCTGGATGGGAAGATCCCCTGGAGAAAGAAATGGCTACCCATTTCACTATTCTTGCCTGGGAAACCCCACAGACAGGAGCTTTTCCAGCTCTGTCCACCGGTCACAGAGTGCGGGGACAAGTGAGCAACGGACCACCACGGCTGCCGCTCACGCTCAAGTCCACACCCAACGGCAGCGAGAAGACATCAGACTGAAACAAAATCTACCCCGCAACTGCACAACACGCTCCGTCCTGACAGTAAATCACGACAGCTTTGACCATGCCCACTGCAGCACCAGGCATTTTCTCCTCACCTGCCATTTTTTGACCATGGAGCACATTTTGTCACGGGTAAGATCCATACCATGAAAATTAGTCAGGCAGTTTTTGCCCTGAACATCCTCAGTAATTAGCTTGAATTTTCTAAATGCTACTTCATCATTCTGCAAATCAGCAAGACTCACTTCAAAAACACGACCTTTGAGGCCATCAGACGCGATTTCTATAAAACAAGAATCAATTGTTATCGTTAGGAACAACATAAGCAAAGTCAAGCCAGCTAAGTTAATGTTCAAGCATTAAGAAAATTATAAAGACCTTAACGTTTGTTAACTAGATCCATATGGTCACCAATGACTACTGACAGTGCTTATTAGAAGCTCAAAACTAACCATGCCCATTTTACTGGTAATTCTTAAAAGTACCATCTTGCTTCCACAAGCGCCATAGGACAAACAGTCCCCAATGGGGCCAAAGTCGCAATCAAAAGCTGACATTTCCTTAAATATCCCACCACAGAACGAACAGTAGACCAAGATACACGCATATCTCAGTGGAAGAAAAACAACGAAGAATAAGATACTCACTGGTTCCTTGAGTTCTCGTGACCAATGTTTTCCCAATATTCCTTATATTGAACATAGCTGGTGCTTTCACATCATACCAATCTTTTTTAGAAAATGGGTCAACCCTAGATTTAAAAACATGCTTAAGTTTTAAAATCAAGTAATTGTTTTATACTTTCCTCATTCTAATTACTTTAAAAGGCTAACTAAATTCTTCTCAGCGAGGTTAGAGGCGCACACGTAAATCTAGCTCTTCACTCCGGTCAATTAATAATGCCACGAACATAAACCCTCTCCCCACACCATCGGTCCTCCCACCATACCAACACTGCCTCCGGACAAGCAATGTCGTTTCACTTTTACATTTCGTGAAGACACACACTGGTAACCCGCACGCTTTAGGACCTCGTGCTAGCTTCCACCCGGCCCAAGCAGCGGAGAGGCGCAGGGTCCTGGGTGAACCGCAAAAGTGCCTTTCACATCTCCAGATCTTAGAAACGTATTATCCGTGGAATTTACGAAGCCCATGATCCCACAGCTCCTGTCCGACTCGCGACAGAAACCTGACTCAAAAGGGGCGCGCGTTAGGCCCAGAAGGCCAGGGGAAGAACAGTCGGCCCGCCTCAAAGCAGCACCGGCCGCCGCCGTGCCGCGGTTCAGTTTACCAACCCCGCACCGCCAGCGTAATCCAACTAGAATCCTCGCCATCCGGCTTACTCTGCGGCTCAGAAACCGCTCGCCGACTCCGGTAGGAGTCCCTCAAAGCGGAGGCCGCGATAGTTGCCACTTACACTTTCTTCTTGGCTCCCTTTTTGCCTCCTTTCGTAAGGCGCTTGTTCTTGCCGACCGCCATGGTGCAGCTCAGAGAGCCAAAAGGGCGGAAGTGCAATTCGCGCGAGAACTTAGGCGTGCGGGGCGGGACGCGCTGTCTACGTGACCTTCGACATTACGCTCTTCCGGCCTCAAGAATATCGCGACAACAGAGAGAGGCAAGCGTCCGACTGTGCCTGTGACAGCGCCCTCATGTGTGGGGAGGCTGTGCAGAATGCCGCGGCCGCTACTTGAGAGGCCGAGCTCCGGAAGTGCTGGCGCTGGTAATCTGAGGTGCGGCCTCCTGGTAAAGATGGTTTCCGAGGCTCTGAAGTCCGGAAGTAGGTTTCCTTGGAAGCGGACGCTCACTCAGCGTCAATCGAAGCTGAACTCACCGTATCATTTCAAGCCTGTTTCTTCTCAAACCTCAAACCTGTGGGATTCGGGATTAGACAGCAGGTCCTATGTTTCTGTGCTAGTTTCAGTAATAATATTTAGCGTTGTGACTTGTCTGTACTTCCTTGTATTTGAGATGGAGGCAGTAGTGTGATCTACCTCGTAGGATTAAGATTAAATATGTGTAATACTGGTTAAATTTTGCTTGTTATTGAAAGCTGCTGGTTAGTGGAATACGTTCGCCTTGTGAGCATCCATCAAGCTGTACACTAGTGTACTTTTCTATAAATTTCTTATATATTGATAAAAAGGTGTTTTGAGAGCGATGGGTTTTTTTTTTGGTGGGGGGGGGGGGGGGTGTTTGTTCCAGTGGCGTGAGTTCTCATTGTTTGCCTGAGAGTATGAGGGACTATGGTTGCAGTGTTTCCAGATACTTTGATATTTTCGGGAAAAGTTTCAGTTGCAGGGGATAAGGAAGTTCCTCCTGGCTGGATATGGTCTGCTAGCCTCAAATGTGTAATCAGTCTCTGAAAAGCTGGCCCAGGTAGGCTTGGTACTCAGCCAGTGGTATGTTGAGTTCCCCTCTGGCAAGAATCTCTGCTACCAAGCGAGAAACCTGGCTGGAGTCACATCACTCCCACTAGCCTTCAAGTCCTTTAATCTCTTCCAGTCCTTCAAGCCTACATCCCTTACCTCCTGTGACCCTTACTTTCTAAAACAGTCTTCCTAAATCTCCAATCCTAGCCTGCTTAGTTCACAACAGTATGAATATACTTAATGCTACTGAACTGTACACTTAAATATGGTTAAAATGATAACTTTTATATTGTGTTTTTATCACAATTATTTTTTTAAAAAGTCCTTGTGGGTGTGTTAAGTCGATTCAGTCGTGTCCGACTCTTTGCAACCCTATAGACTGTAGCCCACCAGGCTCCTCTGTCCATGGGATTCCTCAGGCAAGAATAATGGAGTGGGTTGCTACGCCCTCCTCCAGGGGCTCTTCGAGATCCAGGGATCAAACCCACATCTCTTAAGTCTCCTGCATTGGCAGGCAGGTTCTTTACTGTTAGGGCAAAAAAAGTCCTTAGCTTAGCCTACAAAACCTCTTTTATCTTGACTTACCTCTGTTTTCATTCTCACACTACCTTAGTCGTTAGTGGATACCCCAGCTCTGGACATTTAGAGCGATTTAAAATTCCTTGGAGTAAGATTTCTCTTGCCTCCATTCCTTTTCCCTCATCAAATACCTGTGCATTTTCAAGGCATGTGAATGTGCTCAGTCACTAAGTGGCGTCCAACTCTTTGTGACTCATACACTGTAGGCTGCCAGGATGCTCTGTCTATGGCAAGAATACTGGAGTGGGTTGCCATTTCCTTCTCCAGGGGATCTTTCCAACCCAGGGACCCGCTTCTCCTTCGTGGCAGGTAGATTCTTTACCCCTGAGCCACTAGGGAAGCCTCATTTTCAAGGCAGCTTTCTTCTTTCACTAAGAGATTAATTCCCCAGACAAACAAGCCTTCCCTCACATCTGTTCCCAGAAGAACTAACACTACTTAACTTGTTAGTAACTACTGATAAATGTGTCCCTTTCTTACTGTAAGCAGGAGGGCATGCAGTGCAGTCATTTTATTTGTGGCCATTTTTTTGCACATAGTGGGCCCTCATAATGTTTGCTGGATGAATAAACAATAGTAGACAACATTGGTGATGGTCCCAGTCTTTTGAACTTTGAGGATCAATTTAGATTTTCAAAATAATTTGGGGAATCAACATGACAACAATTTAAAATTTTCACCAATCTATGAAACAAAACCAAAAACAACTGCCATTTTCTATTGGCCTCATTTCACTTAAAAATTATATTTTGACCCCCAAAATAAAAAGAAAACTCTCTAAAAATTCATAAAGAACCCGTACTCTAAACCAGCTTTATGAAAAACTCTACAGACCTTATTTTTCTTGTCTCATCACAGATTCAAGACTACTAGTGATCAGTGGAAATCAGTGAGTCCTTCCAAATATGGTACTGAGTCTAATAAACCATTAATTTTATATTTGACAGTTGCCTTTGCTAAGTTTACTTCATAGGTGGCACTTCGCTGGTTTAAAAATTTCCCAATGGAAAATTTTATCAACCCGCAAGTCAGAATAAAAGTTGAACTTGCTTTCTTCCTAAACTGATTCCTCTTTCTGCCCAAGAGTGCAGGAGTCACAGGGGAGTCGTCAGTGAAGTCAGCTGTGCCTAGGTTATTCCGGAGACACCGGCACCCGAGGGGCTTGCCAGAGGTACAGATTCCAGTCGTCACCTTTGCCGTGTAGTGAAAGCTTTTTAAAAACTGTCTCTCTCTGACACTGTTGTCTTGTGTGGTGCAATCATCAGTTTTAATTAAAATATATCGATTAAATGATAGCATGAGAGGTGTGAATGAGTTTATTGGGTCTCAACTATCTAGGAATTTCAAAATGCAGATGGAATAAAATGGAACAAAAGCTGTCAATATAGCAAGCCTAGTAAACAACTAGTATGGATATAAGAGTTGGACCGAGAAAAAAAAGGGTTGGACCATAAAGAAGGCTGCGTAGAAGGCAATGGCACCCCACTCCAGTACTCTTGCCTGGAAAATCCCATGGACGGAGGAACCTGGTGAGTTGCAGTCCATGGGGTCGCTAGGAGTCAGACACAACTGAGCAACTTCACTTTCCCTTTTCACTTTCATGCATTGGAAAAGGAAATGGCAACCCACTCCAGTATTCTTGCCTGGAGAGTCCCAGGGATGGCGGAGCCTGGTAGGCTGCCATCTGTGGGGTCGCACAGAGTCAGACACAACTGAAGTTAGCAGCAGCAGCATAAAGAAGGCTGAGAACTGCAGAATTGATATTTTTGAATTCTGGTGCTGGAGAAGACTCTTGAGAGTCCTTTGGACTGCAAGGAGTTCAAATCAGTCAATCCTAGAGGAAATAAATCCTGAATTTTTATTGTAAGGACTTGTGCTGAAGCTCCAATACTTTGGCCACCTGAAGCGAAGAGCCGACTCACTGGAAAAGAACCCTGATGCTGGGAAAGATTGAGGGCAGGAGGAGAAGGGGGCAAGAGAGGATGAGATGGTTAGATGGCATCATCGACACAATGGACATGAGTTTGAGCAAACTCTGGGAGATAGTGAAGGACAGGGAAACCTGGTGTGCTGGAGTCCACAAGTTTGCAAAGGGCTGGACACGACTTAGTGACTGAACAGCAACAGTAAAGTGTCAATATTACTTTATTCTCTTTCCGTCTGTGACTAATCTGTTAAATCCACCCAGTCATTTTGTCTGAAGCTTGATTGCTATGTTTTTTATTTCTAAAATAAAAAGTGCTTTTTTCAGTTTATGTCACTTATTTTATTTTGAAGATATATTTATTTTATTTTTTGCCTGTGGTGGGTCTTTGTTGCTGCTCCCGGACTTTCTCTGGCTGTGGTTAGTGGGGTCTCTTCTTCCTTGTGGTGCGCAGGCTTCTCTTTAGGCACTGACCCTAGGCACGCGGGCTAGGTGGTTGTGGTACACAGGGTAAGTTGCTCTGCGGCATGTGAGATCTTCCCATGCCAGAGATCAAACTGGTGTCCCTTGCATTGCAAGGCGGATTCTTAACCTCTGGAGCACCAGGGAAGCCCTATGTCACTTCTTTAAACTTTATTTTTTATTGAGGTTACATTGCTTTATAACATTATACTTCATGTGTTCAATTTATATCACTTCGTTGTTCCTTATTCTTTCACACATCTTCAATGTCAGATTTAAACCCAGTGAACGTAATTGAGATTGGCATCTGAGGGGTGGTGGGAGTCTTGTAAGCCTGAGCCATTAACCTTTCCAATTGTGAATAAGGTTAAATTTAGGATACCCAGCTGGTGGCCAAGAGTTTTTTGTTGGTGTGGGAACGTCTCCCCCCACCATGTTCGAATGGGTTCCCAAGTTGTAACATCATTTTCTTCCAGTCTGTAAACACCTCTATCTCATTTCCTTTTCTTTTCAACTGCAGCTCATGGTTGTTTCATGTGAACAACATACTTTTTCACCAAAAATGTAGTTCCTCGAAGCCTTAGCCTTCTCTGACCCAGCCCAGAAAACCCTAAACCTAGTTCAATGTGCAATTTACCGTTCATGGTAGTATTTGCCCCCAGTTTTTCACTCCTTCCTGTATCTATGACCATGTGTTGTCCCCTCTGACACTGACTCTGGGCTTAGTCATCCAGGGACTTGCTTTCATCCAGGGACATTAGCAAGTTGAGCAATGACTTAAAAGATGCTGGCGCATGTGGGCTCACTCTCTCTGCTCTTTAGAACATTGAGCTCACTTCCTGAAGAAGCCTGATCTAGCCTGCTGGAGAGGAGCCGTGATTTGAAGGGGAAATAACAAGGCCCAGCTGAGGTCTCTCCGGAGCAACCTGGCTACCAACCATTAGGGGTTTTTTTTGTTTTTTGTTTCATTTATTTTTATTAGTTGGAGGCTAATTACTTCACAACATTTCAGTGGGTTTTGTCATACATTGACATGAATCAGCCATGGAGTTACATGTATTCCCCATCCCCATTAGGTATTTTTAAAAAAGGCCATCCTAGACCGTGTAGTCCAAGTGAGCTCGCCCAGAAGACCCACCCAGCTG